CTCCAAACTCTCAAGGCAAGGAATAGGGAGCCCTGGGATGCTCCAAACTCTCCTGGAAAAAAATGAGGAGCCCTGGGATGCTCCAAAAATCTCCCATCAATGAATGAGGAGCCCTGGGATGCCCATTTTGGCAGGTGAGTGTGGGTTATCCCAGGCTTGGCCCTACCCCAATGCCCTGCCAAAGACCGACCCCTCTCCTGGGGCATGGCCAGCCCAGATCTTTGCCCCCCAAACCCCCCAGCCCTCCCTCTCCCAGCCCAGGCCCCTGGTCTCACCTATCAACACCTCTTTCCTCTCCAGGATGTTTTTCTGGGGCAGCTGTGCCGCGGAGTTGCCCGAGTCTATCGTGTTGTCCAGCAGCCCCGTGTCCGCGTTCCTGCCGGGCCCGGGTCCCGCCGGGGGTGTCACCACGGCCATCACCTCGTTCCCGAGGTCGGGACGGGTCGTCTCCTCCTCCTCCCGGATCTCAAAGTCCCCGCTGGGGCCGCTGCTCACTGGGACCTCCAGCTCGTTGTCCAGGGCTGTCGTCACCTCCCCCGGCTCCATCTGGGAGAGAGGACAAGGTGGAGCAGGGGACAAGGACTAAAGGGTGGCTCCTGCCTCCGGCAGCTCCGGTGTGTTTAGAGGAAGGACATCACAGCAGCAAAGACAGGATGGCCCTCTCAGTAGGGATAACACCGGGATGTCCCTTCCCTGAGCTGGACAATGACACTGCAGCAGCAACACAGCTGCACTTCCCAGTGCTCCCCAAAGGGCTGAGCTGCACCACTCTGCTCTGTCCCCATCCCAAGCACATTCAAGATGCACAGACTCTCACCTGTTGCCTGTAGCTTCCCCTAAAGAGACCCCAGAGCCCAGACCCTCCTTTGGGCTCTCTGTCCCCTGACCCACGGGGGGATGACACAGCTCACAGGTGCCTCCTTCCTACACGCAAACAACACCAGCATTCGTTCCACAGCAACAAGGATCAGATGAGCACCATGGGGTCCCTTCCCTCCCCCTTTTTCTCCCTTCCACCTGCTCTGATGGCTGCAGCCCTGTGCACAGGGCAGGAGCACGAAGATCCTTCCCTCCCAGGACATGGAGCCAGCCCAGATCCCTGCAGTCCCTGACCAAGCCCCCTGGCCAGGAAGGGAACCCAGCCCGGAGAGCAAACACGGGCTGGGCAGATGAGCCACTCCAATCCCTCCATCCCTCTTCCCTGCCTCCTGCACATCCCCAGGGCCAAATCCCCGCTGACCTTCCCCCTTGTCCCTGCTGAGCTGGACCACACTGAGCATCCCTGAGCCAAACTTCCCTGGGATCCCTCCTTTGTGGGGAAAACGGCTCCTTCCACGGCCGCCTCGGCACAAATCGGGATGAGCAGAGCAGGGGGTGGGTGAGCGGGAGCCCTCTCCATATCCTCTCTGCCCGGGGCCAGCACACGGCTCAGCGCTTCCCACAAGCAGCCGTTTGTGTGACAGAGATTAATTGAAGGTCAGCGAGAGCCCAGAGCGCTCCCCGCTCGTGTTTGTGCGCAGAAAAGAGGGACTAGTTTAGACAAATCACTCCACCTTTCAGTCAAAGCGCTCGCAAAGGGCCCCCGAGGGGCTCTGAATGCGAGACGGATCAGTGGATTAAATCCCCTGCTCAGGACACCCGAGGGGCAGGAAATGCACCATCAGGCCGTAATTGAGGAGCATTTGGGAGGAGCGTTTGGGCCTCCCACTGACAGGCCGGGAGCTGGGAAATGGTGCGGTGAGCCCGGACACCAAACCCCGTGGGACAGATGCTCTGTCCCCGTGGGATGTGGTGCCCCCAGCCCTGCACTCCTCCTGCCTGGGGAAGCTGTTCTGGAGAACCCGGGCAAGGCAGCACTGGGCTCACCAGGACATGTGTCACACCCCTGGGTGTGACATCAGCTCTGCCCCAGCCCCATCACCATGCCCTGCCCATGCTAAACCCCCCACTCTTTAGTTCCCCCCAAACTCCCAAATGTTCCACTCTCTGCAGAGCTGGAAGAGCCCAACCTGGCTTGACTTCCCTCTGAGCAACTGGCCCAGGACAACTCAACCCCAGAGGCTTCCCACGGCCACCTCTTGGCTCCACACGTGGCCCACGAGCCCCTCAGAAGGGTCCTGCCTCCTACCTGGGGGGCTTCCGTGGGCGGCAGCGTGGCAGGAGCGGGTGGCAAGGCCGTGCTTTTTTCTGTGAGCTCTGCAGTCCTGGAGCTGGTGGGTTTGGGCAGGGACCTGGGCTTGGCTGTGCTGGTGGGGACAAGGCGTGACGTGGCCACCTCCGTGGGCGTGCTGGTCTCGGGGACGACCGTGGTGGGAGTCTCCAGGGTGGTGGCCCGGGTGGTGGCTGCCTTGGTGGCAAAGGGGGGCAGGAACCTCCTGGTGGTGGTGGTGGTGGTGGTGGTGGTGGGCTTGGCTGTGGCCACGGTGGTGCTGGTGGTGGTTGTGGCCTGGGGGGTGGTCGTGGTGGCTGCCGTGGTGGTCGTGGTGGTCGCCGTGGTGGTCGGGGGGGTGCTGGGAGTGGGGCTGGTGGTGGTGGTGGTGGCTTTCCAGCTGGGGATCACGGGTGTGTCTGTGGTCCTGGAGATGTAGAGGACGCTCGTGGTCTGCCCGGGGGTGGTGTCCTGGGCGGGGGATGGCTCCAAGGGGGTGGCCACGGGCTGCACGGCGGTGACGGGCAGCGCGGCCGCCGTGGTGGGCGGCGGCACTGCCGTGTCCGTGGGGAGGCTCATGGCTGTCTCCAGCCCCAGCTCCTGCTCAAAGTCTGAAACGGGTGGGAGAAGAGAGAAAAGTGAAGCCACTGCTGCCTCAGAATTTCCCAGGGCTGACCTGTGCCTGGCCTCATCCCCCAAAAATAGAGCACGGAGTGGTTCCAGGCTCAGCTAAACCAAGGGCTGCAGAGCCCCTCCCTGGGGTCTGTGAAAGCTCTACAACACGTTCTCCTGTCGTAGAGCTCCTGCTGAAGGGCTGATCCTGCCCAGCAGGGCCAGAGACCGAAATCCCAAAATCACAGAATTGACGAGGTGGGAACAGACCTCTGGGATCATCAACCCGTGACCCAACCCCACCTTGTCACCCAGCCCATGGCACTGAGTGACATGTCCAGTCTGTGCTTAAACACCTCCAGGGACAGGGACTCCACCCCCTCCCTGGGCAGCCCATTCCAATATCCATGGGACACAGAGGCACTTGAGCCCAACCTCTGGCACAGCTCCCTCTGCTTTCATCTAGGAGAGGGCAGGAGGCGGAGATGGATGAAGGGCAATCCCCTCCCTCACATCCCACGGCAAGAACCTCCCCAGCCCCACCAACCCCAGAGCCAGGGACCCTTCCCAGGAGCCCCACAGGCACTTACAGCCCGAGCCCGAGCCGGAGTAGAC